TGGTTGGTGATTGCTCTGATGTGGTTTGGTCTTCTTTTCTTATCAAACATGTAATATTTTCATAGTTCTGATCTCTCCTCCTTTATTTTCTTTATTTATTGCTCTCTAATATTTACACCTTAAACAAAGACACACTGCAGAAGACAGAAAAGAAAGAAGATCTTCCGATGACAGAACATAAAACAAAAAAGATCTTTCCTGGGGCACTAACATGACTGTGTCTACAACAGATTTTACTTTGTGTTTTACAGCACTTGCAACACAATAAGGTTGTATAAGTGCCGAAGATTAGAGGTGTTACGAGAGAATAACAAACAAACAAAAAGGAGGAGAGAATATAAGGACGATAGATGTTTGATAGGAAAAAAGGAGCAAACCACATCAGAGCACCCGCCAACCATCCACATAGAGCGTTTGAGAATTGAGTACAGTAAAGCACACCATCAGGTGTAGGCCCTGGGGTAATTTTGTACCTCCAGGATTTTAATCGTCACATTTTACTATACTTCTAGTGCGAAAATCTCTTTGAAACTTTCAGTATTTCTCAAACTCAAAAAATCATGTTGACAGACTGCTATGCAAAGCGTAAGGATCGGATTAAGGAGTAAATTTCCTCTTTGGAAAGTGGTGGCATCGAGTTCCCCACGCCGTATGGATACCATAGTAAAACACGACGTACGGATAGGGTTAAGGACAAAGTGAGACAGACAGAAACAATAGAGGGAAGACACAGTGATAGCGCTAACAATTTATACATGATGATGCGTAGGCCTACATGCAGCAAAAGAACAACCCAAACAAAGGCCTTTATATTATAAAAATGCTAGAAAATATTGTATTTTTCTATGCCCCCATTGTCGTAATTTACATAAAATCTTAGTTTTAGAGTTTTACGGTACTTGCAACACAATTACAGGTCAGATAAGTTCTGAAGATTAGAATTAGAGGTTTTACTGTTACAAGAGAATAAAAAACACAAAATAGAAGGAAGACAGACAAGGACGATAGATTTTGATAGAAGACAAGGAGCAAACCACAATGTAACAGAGGATCCGCCAAACACTGGCACACATCAATTCTGAGACGGGAAGCTCCGACCTTGCTTGTCAAAATGTCAAGGCCAACCCTAGCTGAGTCAACTAAGCAGGATACAGAACCCTATCAGACAGATGTGGACCCTTCATAAAATAACTTCCCCATAGGAGAACCGAACAAGTGCCTTATTGTGCAAGGGTAAAGAGCCTATCCATAATACCATGGCCTTCATTGAATCGTTTATAAATAGCCCAAAGAACACAGCAAAACTCGATGCTAAATAAAAGGTCGATTTTACGCACAAGGGTGCTATACCAAAAGATGCTGTTTTGAGAAAATAGAATGTAAAGTTTTTGCCCCTTGTTCAGTTTCTTTAAAAAGACTAGATTAGTTTTCTCTATAACCAAACAATTATACACACCAATTTAAAACCAAACTTCTCCTATAGGTAGGAGATATAGGTGTAGGTCAAGATTTCTGGAAACCCCTGAAATCTAGGTTAGCCCGCTAGTCCTTAAAATCAACCAAATATGATCCATTTTCAGAGGGTGAACAAAGCGGGAGAGCCTCTTTAATCTTTCCCACCATCATGGAAAATATGTACAGAATCAGGATTTTTCACATAAAAGGAATGATTCAAAATACATTGGGTATTTGATCGGATATCTTGTTGCATCTCAGTCAAAAAAGCATGACAATTGACCCTTTTAAAAAGTTCTAAAGCTGTTTTAAGAACAGCTCATATTGACTAATCAAACATAATGGAGAAAGGTCACAGTTTGTCTTCAGGGAATTTATTGGTTAGGGGTGTACAGTGCAGTACATATGCGGAAACAATACAATAAATGTTTGAGCCTTTATTCAATAGAAACAACACTGATATGAGCTAAGTTATTAATTCCTTGTTAGAAGAGGAGATGCCTTGGGCCCTATGGACAGTCTTAAAATTCAAAACTCAGATCCAAAAATCAGTCTCAAAACCAAAATTCTTTTCGTTTTCACGCAGGCGAACTGTTGCAAGGCCCTCAAATCCTGAACGGCGAAAAATCACAAGCATTTTTAAGTTTAAGAGCAGAGTTGAAAAACTTTTTTTTTCTCCATTTATGAAGTGAGAAATAAATAGGTTCTATATGATTTGTATAGGATTCATTGTATATTATGTTTAATGCCCCCATTAACACAATTTAATTATAATTATCTAAAATTAAAATGATTTACCCAAGATGAATGACATAACATCCCAGCATACAGATGAGGATATTCAGTCAAATAATTTCCCCACGTGGGAATCAAACTCAAATTTTCTGCATGGGAGGACAAAGAGCCAAACCATTACAACACAGATGCGTCATGAAATACTTACATAAGAATTTTAAGGCATTCGCATTTGCAACACAAATAGCTCATCATACAAGTTCCAAGGATTAGAGGTGTTACGAGAGAGTAACATACAAATAAAAGAGAAGAAGTAGAGATAAGGACGATAGACGCTTTATAGGACAGAGGGAGAAACCACATCAGGGCACACGCCAACTTCCCGCATGCAAAACTTGAGGAATACCCAAACACACAAAACACCACACAGTGACTTCACAGGAACAGAACCACTAAACATGCACAAACTCTATAAAATTTAATCAATTCTCTATTCAAAATAACAGTTAAAAAAGAAAAGAAACTATATTATTACCCATCACCAAAATAAAAAAACCACTTGCTCTTTTGTCCAGCATGTTGATTACATTATACTGACAAGATTAGCAAAATCTAAACAAATATCAGCATTTTTTTTTCAAGCATGAGAGTCATATGAGTACAAATGTACAAAAATAAGGCAAGCTAGGAAATTAACCTTCCATTTGGTGAAATGCAATGGACAAGTGCATAAAGTGTATATGTAAAAGCATCCTTGACACTCAATCATGGGACAGAAATTTCAGATTTTATCTGTGTCCTCATCAAATACTTGGTGGAAAAGGAAACCCCATTGACAGTAGTAGCAAGTACTTACATCAAGACAACAGGAAGGTCAAAAGTTGTCTTTCTTACAACCAAATTATTGTACTGACCATCATGCCTTTTGATCCAAACAAAACAGGATAATAACAATCCAAAAGAAAGAGGCCAGAACATACTGATGGTTGCAACAATACTGTCATAACAACAACAATAGCTTTGAAGTTTGGATGTAGGTTGCAGAGGTTTTCCCGTGCAATCACTAATATCATTGTTCCACTACAAGTAACTTAATAAAATGAAAATCACATATAATTGAACTTGGAATTCTGTGCCTTGATGGAACCCCACTTGCTGTGCCGATATCTTAGTGCAGCTAGCGTGGAAAGACATTATCTTGAACGCACGTGTGATATTAAAGCACCAAATCAAGAAAATCTGATATGAGCCAGTTCAAAACATAAACATAAGATTACGAAAAAGTTACAATGATAATATAAGCGATGTTTCGAAGTCATAGCTATTATTCTATTTCTTTCTACACCTTATAATATATTACTATCTTGTGTAATAAAACATCATCAAACAATTCAATAAGGAAGAAACAATATCAACGAAAGAGCTGAGCTTTGTCTAAAAGGAAATTTTGTTCTTTTTAAATAGAAGAACCCCCTCTCCCACACTTTCCCCTTTTATCAGACACATAAACGAAAAGCAAAGCATAAAACAAATCAAAAGAAATACCCCCTTGTCCACTAAAAATACCGGTACAAAGAAAAAGTTGTTTTAACAAACGTTACAACAATGACAAAGCAAACAGAGCTGGATGGTCAGGAACAAGTCCGTAATAAACTGCTGTAGAATAAGCATCTTGTTGGTAACCGTCCAACTGTTTAATCATCCCAGTCATCATCATCACTGACATCGTCGTCATCGTCATCATCATCATCGTCGTCATCTGAAAGCACAAACTCATGTTATTAGTCAAAAGAGAATCATCGCACGTTATACTACTCTACATGTAAACACATTTCTCTTAAAATAAAAAAATTAATCTGCAATTCTATTGACTAGTTTATAGCTATGGTAGAGTACCGTTTAGAGAAGACTGACATTTAAACTTTCATTTACAGCTGGGAAAAAGCAAGCTAGACAGAAATAATAGAAGAAGACAAAAGAAGTAAGATTCACAAGAGGCACCCTCCAACTACCCACATCCTTGGAAATAAAAAAATCCTCAATAATGGTTAAGTTTTTTAAGATTTCACAACTTAGGAAAAGCAGGGTCCAATTATCTGACTTATAGAGACCTAATGGCGGTCAAATGGTGCTGGGAAAGGGTGTTGTGACAACACACTAAACAGGAAACAGAGAAAGAAAAGGATCCAATTCAGCACACATCTAAAGCAAACCTATCCCATACGAAAAACCAGGGAGAGTCTAATATTTTACAAACAAGTTTTTCAAAGCAACAACATAGATGTATAATACATTAACCATACCTATACCAAATAAAAACGTAATATTTAAAAGAGAAACACAGGAAATATAAAAAAGACCAAACATATGTGTGTACAAACGAAGAATAAAACAAACAGAATCACTGGTTACATCAACATTTTGCACAGAAAAATTAGGAAAAGGAAAACATTCGTCATGCTAGATTACAATCAACCACGAGCAGAGGCAATCATCAGAGGGAACAAAATCTTGATCTATGAGATAGATCTGCATGCTAGAAGTTCAGTATGAAGGCTCAGAAGGGCTTTGTGACAAAACGGACCATCTTCACTATTCAAACTTGTGCCATTTTTTAAAAAATCTACATCTACAGCAGAACCTTTACTATTTAAATAAATATTTTCAGGCCTAAAACATGCTGTCACAAAAATTTTGTTCAGCTTTGATTAAATTTTTCTTCAAGAAAATGCAGGTCATGCATCAAGCAATCAGGTTTGGACAGGACAGGTTTTGTCACAAAACTATTCACACAGTGTACATAAGAAAAACATGAAACCATTAAAAACAAATATATTCTTTACATAAATTCCTTTACCATAAAAGAGATGAAATGCTAGAATAAAAATTCCTTCATCCAGCCACAAATATTTAGTTGAAAAAAAATTTGGCAAATCAACACAACATAATCAAATTTTTACTGTCGTCAAAATTATGAAAATATGCCACCAACTCGGGTAACAAAATCCAGAACTGCAGGCATGCAAAAGTGATGACCATTATGCTGATCTTTCGATTTTTTTTGTCAAATATAGTAGAGTACGCTTAAACCGAACACGGTTAATCTGAAAACAGCAGTAAACCGAAAGAAAAGAAAATCCCCAATTTTTTTCTTCTATTTGAGCAACCTGTTTAAACCAAGAACCCGGCTTAACTAAAGAAAATCTAATTGTCCTGCATATTTCGTTTTAAGCGAACACCGCTGTATCAATCTCCAAACAGAAACACTAGTGCCACGAGCAAAGGGAAAACGGTGATTTTGGTTGGGGGAGGGG